GTGCTGCTTTCTATGACTACTTGTATATTAAGCAACTAAACCAAATATCTTCATCTGCTCCTGATCAAATTGTCATATGCAACACACAACAGAGTATGATCTACTTGATGTTATTACAGGTTCCCTTCATTTGTGAAGGCATCTAAACTGGGTAAATATGAAGCCACTCCAGCAAAAGGTTCACTAACATCAGGAAAGCAGAGTCCTCCAAGGACAGACCCTTCTGGTGTACCTCAATCTACATTTGATCCAGTACGTTCAGATTTCATATGATTATCCAAGCACCTTGTTGTAGGTGTGCTTTCCTTATCAATTAGTTTTTGTGCCACACCTTATTTTATTTGTTTATTATAGACCCTTTCAGCGATACTGTATTCAGCTCTACGGAAACTTCGTACTAATATTGTTAGGGAATCCGGAGATGGTGTCATGGCTTACCATATATTTGGGTAAGTGCCTTTTTAATCTCTTTTTATTTCCTCTCTTTTCCTTTTTCTCTAATAGATCATTAAGCATCTTCTTGTTGCTTCTACTTCACTTGGGCAATGGTGTTGAACTTAAGTCGTACTTTTGAATTTCTCCCGGCCTTTAAAAGATGTGATATGCAAGTCAGCCCTATTGTTTTGCTGCTTTACGGTTTGGTTCTCTTAAACCATAGTACTCCCTCTAGTTCATATTAAGTGATTTTTTCAAAGCTCAAGAGAACTGTAGGATTCTTCTCCATATTTACCCTTTCTTTTAATGAGGTTCTTAACTACTTTACATTTTCTAAGAGAACAGTTTAGGAATAATCAAAAGGGTAATAATAGAAATTAGCTTTCAACTTTTGTCCTCAACTGTTTTTCTTAAGAGTGTGCACTGTGCCATACACCAACTGTATTCTTAAAGTTGGTGTATATGCATTCTGTGCTAGAGCCCTGTGCATTCAGGCGTCCTACGTTGCATATTTGCACAACTTATTCTCACTTATCCAAAGAGAAGAGTAACCAACAACAGATGAATTATTTGCAGGTTATGCTGGACTCTGTTTCTCTTTAAAGTTAAACATTCTAGTTTAAAATAAATTTCTTAGACTTTTGGATTCAGGTCTGGGCTTTGTGAGGGCTTTCAGTAAGTTAGATTTTTCTTTGCCATTCTCATCTATATGATACTTCATTTGAATATTCTTCCGTGCTGGAGGATACAAAAGGAAACAAATTTGACACTTAGTATAGCTTAGAAATGTATGCGTTATTGTAGACTAAAGTTAAGCTGTTTGATGTGCCATGTTGTCCTTTCATTCTTTCCTGTTGTCAGGAGCTGATTAATTGTTCTCATTTTTCTAGAGATGACACCCTGCAGCTGATTGGCCAGAAAGTACCTAGAACTATAAATGAGCTACGTGACATCAATGGAATTGGCAAGTAAGTTAGAGAACAAGTTAGACAATTTTTTCACCCTTAGTTCCTCATGTTTAATGAGCTTGATGGTGCAATTTAGGGTAAAAATCAACAAGTACGGGGATAATGTGCTGGAAACCATTGAGGCTACGGTCAGGGATTACTATAAGTCAGATAAGACGAGTAGCAGCTGCAATGACAATACTGATTCAGGTAAAAAGAGGAGAAATTCCATCAATGTACAAAACGGGAACTCCAAAGATGAAGAGTTCTTCACTGAAAGCACTGGATGTACTAAGAAAAGGGTGTTAAAGAAGCAGAACAAACATGCTGAGGTTATTGACTATAGGGACCTTGGGTATTTTGATGAATGTATAGACGGTGACCTTGATTTCGATGAGACCATGATGCCTTAGTGAATGCTTCCTATTTCAAAAGTTGATCAGAATGAAAGAAGCATTCCATGATCAACATCCCAGGTAGTATCGTTCGGAGTTAGCATCACAGTTTGCATGGGTGATAAGTTTATGATCACCACACTGTTTTTATTAATTTGGGTGAAATGTAAATCTGTTAACAAAGCTGCTGGAACAAGGCTCAATTTCCAGCTACTATGAGATGCTAACTTAATCTTGCTATGATTCATCGTAGTGTATATAATAATTCTCTTTTCTATATATTAGTTGATTGCTAAATTTTCTATTGGATTCATCAGGACTTTCTGAATGCTGCTTGCTACCGTTTTAAATGTCTTTTAACCTTAGTAATTTGTTCTTTATCAAAGCTTTAATGTTTGTGTTGGCCAGTTGGGCTTTGTGTACAGTATGATTTTTTAAATTTATTTTTGTTAAATATATTCAAAGAAATAAAACCACAATCTTTGTAATGTTGGTCATGAGAAATAAGTGAGTAATTTAGTAGGAAGGAACTAACATCGCCATACCTTTTAATAAAAAAATTAGCTTGTTGGATATTTTGGATGGGCGAATTGCTAGCGAGCATGCGTTTGAAGATATCATTCAAATTCATACGTATCGTATTCCTACTGGATTCTCTCCGTTTCAACTTGTTCGTTCTACTTCTTTTCTTTCTTTTAATTTGGGTAAGAAAAATGTCTCTTTCCCTTTTAGTAAATTTTTACTTTTAACTTTTGCATGATAGGTTTAAGATCACAAAATTAAAAAATAATTTTAACACATTACAAATCTCATAAAATTTAGCATATAACTCCAAAAAAAGGAAATAAATTGGATACAAAAATATATAAAAAAGATCAAAAATTATATATTCTGTCATGTTTGTAATTAATAACCTATTTTTTGTAAATAAAAAGGAGTATATACATATATTATTAATTAAGGTCTTAAATAGTATGTTCTTGTAAATTTTTCCATCATTAAACTCTCAAATCTCTTTTACTTTTAAAAATTTTGTGTGAAATTAAAATTAGACAATCAAATTAAATTGAATGGAATAATATTTACTTTTTGAGTACATTTGACTACCTTTTGGAATGATATCATAAGTAAATAAACACCAAATGATGTGATACAGTGAATGAGGTTGCTCATTTCTTAATTAGAGGTTTCGAATTCAAGCTCTGATTATGAAAAAATTCTTGGTAAGAAGAATAATATTATATAACTAAAATTATCACGATATTAGCGTTATAGTGTATTGTTTAATTAATCAATTCCAAATTCCAAGTATAGTTATCTTGTTGGTCTCAATTTGTTTGTTTGAATTAAATTTAAACATAAAAAAAAAAGATATTCAAAATTTGTAATTTGAAACTAAAATATGTAGGATATACCAAAAGATCTTTTAATTTGATAGTGTTAAATAAGACATTGAGAAAGTTAAAATGAAAAAAATATTAAAAAGGAAGTAAACGGACTAAAAAAGCAAATATGACTAACAATTAAAATAAGAGGGAGTAATATTCTGGTTCCGAGTTACGAGAGAAACCTGCTAATCCCAAAATAATGGAATCAAACTATGAAATGGATAAGTAGTTTTAATCTTGATTTTGTACGTTTCTGAGCTCTATATTCGTGAAACCCAACAATGTTCTGTTTGCTATGTACTTTTCTGTAATCAATTCATTGTAATGATATTTAATTGCGCATAAAGTTCAAAAATAAATATAGTTCGTAATGGAAAATTAGATATACTTATAATATATTTATATGATTATAAACTATCCTATTAAAGATAAAATGATAAGTTTAAAATTAAATTATTATGATTAAATATAAATTAGATATTTATTTTGAAACGAACTAAAAAAAAATCACAAATTTTAAAACAGACGAAATAATTTTTATGTCGATTCTATGCTCAAATAATATAGTTAGTAATGAAAAATTAGATGTATTTTGCATCTTACTTTGAATCAATTTGTTCTATGATGGGTGTGTTTGGTACGGTCGATTTTTTTAAAAAATTAGTTAGACTCCATTTATGAAAGATATTTTCGACAAAAATATTTATATTTCTTTCTTATTTGGTAAAGAAAGAAAAGAAAAAGAGGAGGTAGATATTTGTGTATACAAGTATGGCCAAGCAGGGGCGAGGAGTAAAACTTACACGCATCAAGTGTATACATCAATTCAATACAATACATGCATGTCATGCGTTTAAATTTATAGTTCATTTTACTTAACCTTAATTAATTAATATGTGCTTTACTTTAAATCACATAATAATAAAAATTGTATTAGTTTGATTTATACACCCGATGCGGATAAGTTTCCTAAATACAAAATAAGAAGTTGACTTAGTAATTTATGAATTTAAATTTCGCCTTAAAGTTTATGTTTTAAATTTTATCAAATCTTTTTCATAAATTTTTTGAATGCACCCTTGTCTTGGTAAATTTTTTATGAATCTCAATTACGATTCATTAGTTAAACTTGGATAAAAAAATAAGTCTATTTCAAAAGAGATAACCAATTAATTAAATCTCTTTTATATCATTTCACTGATTATAGCTTCTTGATTTCGATAGTTAAAGTATTTAGCGCAGACTCAAAATAAAAGTAAGAATAAAAAAATTCAATCTAAGTTATAAATTAGGGAAAAAAGTCTGAAATATATTCGAATTTTGATTGAAATTGTTGTTACGATAACGAACTTTGGAAATGATCTTTTACCCTCTACATTATTTAATAGTGTATTTTAAAGGTATATATGTGTCCATGTGGACATCATAAATATTGATGTGTCCATGTGGGTACATATATACCTTTAAAATACACAATTAAATAGTGCAGGGTAAAATATCCTTCATAAAATTTGATATCGTAATAACAATTTCGATCAAAGTTAAAATATTTTTCAGACCCTTTTCCCTATAAATTAATTTAGATTAGTCCTATTTTTACTTATTTATTGACTTTTTTTTTCTTTTCATAAAGAGATAAGATCAGTTGAATCAGCAACAGTTAATTAAGACGATCTGAGATCCAAAGCGAAACCAAAATTAAAATAAGACAAAAAAGGTGGGACCCATTTTGTTAGGTAACTGAAACGTGTCACGTAGCCTAACGTGCCATGTAAGTAATTTCACGGTGACTACCCTCTGCATTTTCTATATGCCTACTACTCTGTCATCCCCCACCTCACTCTGCTTTTTCAACTGAAAAAAACTCTGGTTTTTTTTTCTTGCAGAAATTGAAGAGCAAAAACCGAAGGATCTGATATTTATTTTCTGGATTTTTGTATAGTTAATGGGGTGGTATGAGATCAGCTGACTGTAGAATTTTTCTTTGTGAAAAAGTATGAGGATTATGAAAAACCCTAACATTTCTAGCTCGATTAAGGATGGAGATGTGAAGATGGAGGAGGAAGGAAGTGTAAAGAGGAGGGAAAATGAAAAGCCACCAGAGGATGACTGTTGTCCTATTTGCTTTGGGAATTTCTCCATTCCTTGTAAAACAAACTGTGGTCACTGGTTTTGTGGTACATTTCTAACATCCTTTACTTACTAATACTACTACTACTACTACTGTTTGTTTTTCTTTTCTGAAAATCGTTATACCGATTTTTCCGTCTTTTGTTGAGTAAGGTGGAATGATATAGTAAAGTATATAAGTTCTATGTAGATTATGATTTCCTTGTTCCTGGTTTTCCCTTGCTCCGCAGCTAGTTGCATATTGCAGCTGTGGTACTACAGATCAACACTGCGGCGATGCAAGTGTCCAATATGTTGCTGCCTCATAAGCAAATTGGTACCGGAGGCATCGTTACTTGTTCAACAGGAAGAGGATGTTGTCGAGCTACTTAAAAAGATTAGGCGGTACAATCACCTCTACATTAGTGGTGCTTATGGGATTTTTCTTGTAAGGCTGCTATCTTAGAAACTTCATTTCTGCAATGTGATTCTCAGTTGTGCATTTCTTATGTATACCTCTTACATCTTGAGCCTAACTCAATCCTAAGAGCTTGCTTAAGAGGTGAGATTGTCCAAGCCATATTAAAGAGACCACCCATTCCTTAAAGGGCTGGTGTGGGACTCTTCATGCCCATCTCACGCCCAGTAATTTTCATAAAACTCTATTAGCATCTCCAGCCAAAGATTTATTGTTTTATAATAGTATCCTAACTAGCTAGTTCCCCTACTGTTTGTGAATGTCGCTTCATTCTTTTATAATATCAACCTCTCTTTGTTTCTTTCCCCTGTTGTATGAATTAATTGCATAATATGGTAGGAACTTGTGTAACATTACCCTAGTTAAGTGGATTTAATTAGATACAAGGAGGTCCTTAGAAATTCTGCTTGAAGTTGGTGCAGATTTAACTATTGTGAGTCGGCAGGAAGAGGTAATAAGCAGTCTGGAAGTGATACGAATAAAAGATCGTCACAGAGTCAACCTTTTAGTCTGATGCCCTTCTTTCTGATGTGGTAGAGTGGCATTTAGCAAAAGGGAGAGATCTGTGATGCGGATAACTCCTATAAACACTTTCTGGTCCCAACTCAAAAAGATATGTAGTACAAGTATGTTGAGTACAAGTGAAGCATATCACAAGTATATCTTACCTCTGATGCAAGTTGTTTACTAGCTTTGGTGAATAATGTAATCTTTGACTATAAGTTAATATTTGCGTGCTGCAGCCTTGCATTTTGTTCCTCATGAAAGATTGTCGCTGACCTTTCTTCTCAGCCAATTCTTCTATGTGATTTTATGCTTAATTAAATAACGGTAAAACACTATTTAATTTGTTTCGTGAGTGCACTGAGAAGATAATACTACCTGAGCAAAGATTTGAGGTCTTGGAGGAGCTAGCCCTTAAAAGTGAAGTTCTCTGAATGAAAGGACACTTATGGAGGATTCTTTGATTTGGAAAGTCTCTCTGTGTTACCTTATCTTCTCATATTAATTCATAAGAGGAAAAAAGAATGAATAATGTATATTAGAAACCTAGTTCTTATGGAAGTATAATTAGAAGAGCAAGTGTCATTAGTGTTTTTAAAAATAAAAATTGTGTGGGGTGGGTGGGGAGGATACTTGCTTACAGCTTATTTGTTGTCTTTTGAGTTTTGAGCCCTTTATTGCTACAACTGTGCCTATACAACCTAATGGAATTAAGGAAGTTTCACACTTTATAGAAAGAACTCATTGGTGAAGTGAAGCAAATTGATTGATCTTATTGATTCATTTTAAAACTTCAGAATATATGTTCCTGATATGTGTGATTTATATTTTCTCTTTCTCTTTCCCGCAGAAGGTACTAGCACTGCCACTTTTAACTCGGAGAGTTCTCCGAGCACTGATGGACACTCTGATAGATCCTGATCAAGTTCGGTTAAACTATTACTTGATGCGCATTCTTGCAGTAAGTTTTTTAAAGAGTTAATTGGGAATCTTCCAATAACTTCTGGATTCTTGTTTCAACATTATGTGGGAAAGGATGCATAGTTATGTAAATGCTGGAGGATCTAGAAAAGTGGCACATTTGAGTTGCCATGTGATCTCGTTGCTTTTTCTTATGATTATGATTTCTCAATAACCTTGCGTTATGAGAGAAAATGATCAATATTCTTTGGATGTACTCTGTGCTGGGTGAAGCATGGATTCTCATGAAGTACCCTAGGACAATTTTGGTTAAATTCCTCTGTGAAGTTGTTACTGACATGGAAAATCTGTGAAATATCGTGTACACTGGTAATCTAAGTACTGTGCTATGCAAAACCAAAAGACCACTTATCTTATTGAGCATTCCTTTTTGTTTTATGATGTAATTATGCTATAAATCGTCTTTATTGTAAAGTTTGTTTTTCTGATTGTTTATGCTTTAGCTTCTTTCTTCACAATTGGTCGTTCTTAAAGTAAATTCTTTATGTTTACTGCAGTTGTTCCTGAGTTGGATCTACTGTAGCTGCGAATTTCAGTTCATTCCTACTGGTATTCTACTTGTCATACTCTATTGAAGAACTAAATTTGTATGGCATGGCATGGCATGGCATGCATGTTAAGTTTTATGATTATTGCAGCCATTAGACACTGGGGAATCTCATCCTTTTGTAGGGGGCGCTGATTTTAGAATCATTTATACGATTAAGATATGGTCATGACAATGCAACTTAATAGAGTAGTCTATACTGATGAAACAAGAAAGTATATCTCGTAGAATGAGTTGTTTGTCTGGTTTATAGAGAACTGTTCAAATTCACTTCTAGGACTTCCCAGGTTTTGATTCTTCATGCAGCCATTGACAGGATGTTACTGAATTTTGAACGTAAGCTGATAAATTACTTGTTTGTAGGAGGACTGGGAATCTGGAGGTTGTTTGACATCTGTGCTATTGCCACCGTGGCCATTTTCTATTTGGTTGGCCTATACCATAGATGGGTGCTTCGTCGTCGTGTGAGACAGTTGGCTGTTCTACCAATACATCCTGATTGAAAGCCTATGCCAGCTTACTGGGAAGTCCTTGCTGTGAATATATCTCAATGTTTGTTGCCCAAAAAAAGAGATCCCCTTGCAGAATATTTGGTTGTATGGGAGGTTATTTTAAACCATTTTCTTCTACTCATTTTGTAGGTAGCTAAGAGATCGTAATTCCTCCTCCCACTGATAGGTCATATATATTAGTCTTGAACTCTAATTAACAAAGTGCTTAGTGTGCTTTTGGTACATATTTGAACTTGGTAGGTACTAGAGTATCCCACCAAATTAGTAATCCAAGATTGTCAAAGCTCGTAGTCAAGTGAAATCTTCGAGATTTCAGAAGTTTACAACATGATATGTGATTACCTGCTTATTGAGATTGGCACATCCATGGTTAAAGCATCAAGTCTGAGCTATTTTTATAAAATATGCTTTGTTGGATTTATTATTACTCATTTCCTAGTTGCTTAAATTAGCTCAAAAAGGTTGCTTGATTCTCCCCAAAGAAAAAAAGGAAAATGTGCCCTTTCATTATTGAAATAATACACGTAATTTTGTTCCCTAGGCAAACTCACAAGTAAATTTTTCGAAATATTCTAGCACAATAATGCGAAAATAATCAAAGAATTTGAAGCTCATTTACGGGGTGATTCGACATTTTTAAAGTTGAAATTACAGATCATTTTTACTACTATTTCTCTTAATTGAGATTAACTAAATATCTTTAACCTTGAGACGTAACAAATTTTGAAAAACAAATACTAAATTACTTGGCTAATTGATTTTTAACTAGATAACTTAATGAATTACAGTAGTCTTTTTTTTTTTTTACGACTAGGGAAACCTACAGTCGTTACTCTTTGGGTGCGCACAGGGTAAAATTCCCGTTCATATTCAATAACTCGAGGTAACCCGCACTAGGCAAGCCTGGTGCGAAGAGTTCGACCCAAAAGAAAAATCACTTGCTTTCGCAAGAAATTTCAAACTTGAGATCTCCAACATGGAAGTCCCAAGCCGGGTCACCCGAAGGGTAAAATTACAGTAGTCTTTGAATTTTAAAATGGGTGGAGAAGACATAGAGCTTTGTGATTTATTTGTAGTAAAATTAAAAAAAATAATTTACTTTATTTCTGATTTCTCTCACTTTTTTTTTAAAATAAAAATCTTGAAAGTGTTTTTTAAGACATATTATAAGCTTTTAAGCTGACCCATATGATAAATTTAAAAAAGGAAAAACGTAGAGTATTTGCAATGAACCGTAAAAATGACGTTTCCCGTGAAAGATGTAAAAACAAGAAAAGGATAAGACCAGAAAGGTGATGCTGGAAAGTGTGCGACTAGGATCAAAATTTCCGGCACGTCATCAACATTTTCGCATATATAAAAACAAACTTTCTAAACAGAAAGTTCTTCGATTTCCATTATTTCTGCTATCAATGAAGTTCTTCCTCAATAGTATTCCTTTACGAAATCGTCGTCAAAACCCTAACCCTATCCCACCTTCTCCAGCTATGCTTTCTGACTTAGCTTCCGATTCCGGTGATGGACGACAGGAGGAAGCCGCCTCTTCCTCCTCCGCCGCCGTGATGAATTCGGACGACGAGGAGGAAGATATGGGATATGAGTCGCCTGAGAATGAGGTGAGTACGACGTCGTTTTCAGGAACGGAGATAGAGGATGAGCAGGAAGGTAATCGTGAACCGACAGCAGAGGATGAGGACCGTCGGGAGTTGGATGGTGCGTCTTCGAAGAGCCTTGTGGTTGTTGAGGCAGAGAATGCGTTTTTGAGGACGGAGAAGCCTCCTACTGATGATTGTTGTCCAATTTGCTTTGGAAATTTTGTCGTTCCTTGCCGAGGTCCCTGTGGCCACTGGTACTGCGGTAAAACATTTAGCTTATCTTAATGTCTCTGGTTCATTTCCATGTTTATTGTGGTTATTATTATTGTAATAGCTCAAGGATAAGATTTGTTTTCCATGAAATTGATTATGTGCTGCTATTTTTGGAAGGAATTGGGGCTATATGGAGCAGATGGATGTTCTTTGCTCTTCTCTGAAATTTCGTTACTACTAGGAAGAGCTAGTGGATAGTGGTCTTTATCACACTACATTTAGACTTTGCAACTCGCCTTGGAAATTGACGGTGGAGAATGTGGAAGCACCACATAAAATTATATATATAGTTGGATTAATTTGTTAAAAAAAGAAGAAAATATAGTTGGAAAGCCAGCTTAATACCATAATTATGTAGGTTCATTAGTAGGCTTTAAACGATGTGCAGCTCATGTCCGAGTCATTTCACTCTATCGCTCTTACCTTTTTCATTAGTTTGGTTGAAATCTGAAATACGTTAGGGTTAAATCCACTGTTTTATTTGGAATCCCTTTTTCTGTCAATACCTAGGTTTAGATAGGAGAAGATAATGATAATGTCATGCAAGTGTAGTTGGAAATTATCCTTCCTATGGCAATTTATTGATTAGGACAATATTTGAATCTCCTTGAGAATTGTTGAGATCTGTTATCTCATAATTTTGCTAATCCTGGTTTCCTATCCTCTTGGAGAGTGAGATGTCAAGCCTCTCCTGTACTCGTATATATTTGACGTTAATTGTTTGAATGTTCGTAGAGAAAAAGTAATTGCGTTCTCATCAAAAGCCATGTCTTGTCTAGTCGACCATCACAGTTATTTGTCTTGAAGTTGTTTTATCAAGCTTTGCCTCAATACTTTTTCTTTCAACACATTCTTTTCAATTTGGTTTCTACGTGTGCAGGAGGTTGCATTTTGCAGTATTGGAACTACGGTGCCGCACTTCAGCCCTGTAACTGCCCCATGTGTTCGAGGAAGCTTACTGATTTGACACCTGAGGCATCATTGTATAGTCAGCAGGATGCAGAAGTAATTGAGGTTTTGAAAAAAGTTCGAAAGTATAATCGCCTTTTTATAGGTGGCACTTATGGCCTCATGCTGGTGCGTTAGACTCATATGTTATTCTATCATATGTTAGATTGCGTAGATGGGATTATCCTTATATTTTAAGCACAGATTGAACCATCTGTTTGGACCTTGTGTCTCCTATGTTTTTAGTTAGGATTTATTTGTGCATCTTTGGTTCTTTCAAGCTCAAAGCAGAATATCTTCTTGTTTAATCCATTAATTTCGAGCTCAAGATCATGTGCTTTGAAAGAAAAGGTCATTAATATTCTAGAGATAAAGTCTTGAATATGTAAGCTTCATGAATTCAGCAAGAAATTATACAAATTGTGAAATCAGACAATGTTTGTCGTATGAATTGAATTGATCTGATTTGTGGTGACTGCTTACGGGTAATCCTCTTGCCTTCCTACCTCTGGTTTGTTAAACAAAGCTAGTTGAACCTAACAAGTATAATACACATATCGTGTGTCTTATATTTTGCGGGTTTGTTGCTTAAGCTATCCTCTTGCCTATCTATGGTTTGTAAAAAATAATAAGTTTGTTGCACCTAATTTTTACATCAACCTAATAAATACATGCAATACATAACGTGTGTCTTTATTTAAATTGTTCTCTCTTGAATAATAGCAGAGAAATATTTTCAGTGGTTTCTAATCCTTCACTTTGTGAGACATAATTACTGGTTTACCATTAAGTAATAGCAGAGCACCACATTTTCTTTATTTTATCCCTTCTCTTTCTATTTTCTGCAGAAGGTGCTTGGACTGCCCTTTTACATGAAGAGAGTGTTTAATGAAATGATGAATCCTGACAGGCCTGGTGCTCATTTGAACAAATTGCGTATTTTTGCTGTAAGTTCATCTTGACAGCTTAATGCAATGACTGCTACATTGCTACTTTAATCAGCTATCTGTAGTATTTGGTTTTATGGCTCTACAGCCTCAATATTCTCCCTCAATTAGTTCCAAAGCGAACAACAAATTCTCATTATTTATCAGTTTTCTGGCCTTAAATTGTTGTTAAGGTTTCTTTCTGATTTGCTATCTTTATCTACCTTGTCATTCTATTCTTTATTATATTTTAGTAACATCATTTCTTGAACTTATCCGCTGAAGCAGATAATTTCTTGCAGATGTTCCTGGGACTCCTTTACACATTCAGCCCCTTTGATTTTCTCAGAATAGGTACACACATCTGCTAGTTGAACTTGATGGGTGTAGATTTTGAAGAATAATAATTGGGCAATTTTGTTGTAATATTAGTCTGTTAATACAAGTATATAAACTATGAATCTCTATGTTGCATTACAGGGACTGAAAGGTAAATAGAAACTGAGAAAATCCATTTTTTGGCTGTCTTCACTATTAGACCTCTATTTATTGCTGTGAGAGCTCTTCTTTTCTCACCCTTCCTGCATGCTGGAGTGCTACTGGGTAGTTTTGTTGGTGAAGAACTCAAGATGCATTTCTCTTTGTATTGACCTTTTTTTTATTGCCATCTCACTGCAGGCCGTCAAAATGTCATTGATGTGTTTGATTATTCTGCCATTGCACTATCCTCAGTGTTATATTTGGTTGGGCTGTATCTTCGACGAAGGCGTTTCCACCATGTTAGGGAAATGGCTGAGGCTGATTTTGCTGGTCATTGACAGCTGCCGGCTGGTGAAGCAGATATTTGTCGTCAACTCACTGTGGAGCTTGAAGATTTTGGATTTATAAGGATCTTCCTCTGCTTTTGTGGTTGTGCGCTTTTGCAGAGTTTGAGATGGTCTTGCCTTATGATGCAGTTCGCTTACATTTACCTGCCAGTCTGTATAGAATGTAGTGTTATGATGTATATACTCATTTAGTTGATCGCTTTTCCACTTCCGTCATATATTCTTGAATCTGAGTGGAATATAGTCTCATTAGAAAACTACCGGCTTGTTGTACTAATAATGAGTCTATCACCTTACCTTGAACAAGACCTATTCTACAGGCTCTTGCTATTATGTTGTGTCCTTAAGTTTAAGGAGTTTGTCTTCTTGCCAACTTCTGTTTTCTTTATATTACTGCCGCTATCTTTTCAAGCCCTATCTATATGCAAATTACCCCTTCGACATTGTGGAGGGAGGGATCTGGTATCACTAGGGTTTATTTACTTCTTTGTGTGATCCATAGCTTGTAATGAGACGTTAAAGCTACTGAGCAACTTTTTTACATTAACTGATCCTCATATTCTCTTATACATTAACTAACATATGCCTACTGAAATAGCTTTAGAAAAAATCACGAAGAAAATCAAATGAGGAGAAAGGTGAAATACGATACACCGCCAGATGGAACAGAGGGTTGCACTAATATGTCCGAGTCAAACTTCATGCACACCTCGACATTACAACATTTGATGTTTTTGTATTAGTTGAAAAGGCAACACATGATAAGCAGAGTGAATGGATCATTCCAAATGTTATCTTCGGAGCATCTGTGAGAACACAGGAAGCTATGGAAGAATATATATAACACCAATTTAATAACAGTTGGTGTTTCTGGATTAGGCACCTGTTGTAGTAGTGCATCACAGATTCACAGTACTGCATTCAAATTATTTCTCAAACTTAAAATGTATATACAAGCAAGCGTTTAAGTTGACCCTTATTTCAGCAAATATCTACATTTTCTAGGTTTCCAGTCACATTACTACAATAACAACAACCTTCAATCTAGGGTGACTGAGATTCACAGCTAGATAATACAGAATAATAACTACATGCCCTGATATATACAAAAGAATGTTAAATACCTTCACATATTATCTACTAACTGTGCATACCAAGGACCATGAACATTCACTGTGACATGTGCTGCCATAACCAATACAGAGGTGGCATCCGCAATCTCATCAATTAGAACAGTTGCTCCCACCTGCCGTAGAGCCGCTTCAGCCAATTCTCTTCCTTGTCTTCCAGTTCCCCCAAGTACAACTCCCCTTCCAGCCAAATATATTGCCCGGGCTACATGCACAAAAATAGCATCCCCAGCTTGCAGGCTCTTGGATAACATCCTTGCCATGATCTCCTTGATCTGCTGAAGCTTCATCTCATCAGTACCATTGTCGCCATGCTCCAAAGGTTTGACAAGTGTCGAGATGATCTCTTGAATACCAGCATCATTATTGGAGTCAAGGAGCTCAGAAACAGCTTTGGCACCTCCTTGAACAATTTTATCCATATCTGCTGCACTTAATACCATTTGCATACTCTGAAGAACCTGTCTTTGGACTAGAATGCTGCAGAATCATAATCAAGTCAATAAGTAGATCATCAAAGGGCAAGTATTCTCATCTCAGAACCTCTGTACTTTCCTTCCCAGAGAGGGACAGGGGAATGAGATAGAGTAACAGTTACCTGGTAGCTATTACGATGATCTTTTGGATTTTTGCCTGAGTAGCCCTTAGTCTAAAAAAGTTCAGCTGCAGAGTTTCAGGCAACCCTTCTTGCGTCAGACCAGATACTGCATTTACCAACTTTAACAATCCCAGCCTCACCAATAAATCAACCTTGTCCCCCGTGCATTCTTGGCATTCATCTACAGCTTCTGAAAAGAAGAGACATAATCTATTAAGGTAAAAGATGCAGGAATTCTAGGCAGCTGAATGCTCCAAATTGATCTGATGCAGTTTGGAATTTAAAGAGGTAAAGCAAGGGGCTGACTCTGAGGTAGCCAACCTGTAGAGGTCAAAGGTGAAGCATGGTTTTTATTCATTTTAACTGAAAAGCTTCCTCCAGTTCTAAGGGTGGCAGAAGGAAGGAAACGATCTTGTCCACTTGTCAGGCTGGATAGAGCCTCCTTGTGTTCATTAAATTCCTGGTCCATGGAATCTTTGACAGATAAAAGCCACTGCCATGTCAAGGGTAAGGTGGTCATAGCCATAGAAGGAAGACCATAACGCTTGGTGAAAGCTTTCCTCAAATAATCTAAAGCTCCAGGTCCCTTGAGAATTGGTTCCAACATTCTAATCCTTGCCTTGCTTATTTCTTGTTTCAGCAGCTGCACAAAAAAAAGAGGGAATGTCAGACACCTTATACTGGGTTAAGAAAAATACTGAGATAGCAGAATTGGAAGCACAAAAATCCTCAAAGATATAGCTAACGGAAAATTTCTAGTCTATAGACTTGTTTGTTAATCAATGTGGTACAACAATTATGTTTCAAGATCAATTCAAACACCAGAACACCCTGTATCAGAATAGAATATACTTGCATCCAAGACACTTTCTTTGGAATGTGAAATAGGTCCTATTCTAGACTACATAAATGCTATAATTCTATCGTCTTACAGATGATTTGTGCTCCCCTGATTCTGCAGCATGCATAGAAAGAGAGGGGAGGAAGAGGAGAGAAAGAGATACCAAGAAAATAAAACGTCTGTATATATATATAGTACTACCAATATCAATCCCTGGTCCTCTAACGTTACTTTGAAACAATGCTCTCTTGCTGAACTATCCACAAAGTTAGTGCGCTTAAGTCTATAGATGTGATGTTTAAACCGAGGAAAGAATGAAAGATGTTCAGAAATTTATTTACCTGAATCTCTTCCAGTACAAAACGCAAACCCCTAACTAGTGCCAGGATAAATGAATTCTCTGACCCATCCATACATATATCAGCTAGTTCTCCAAATAACTTTTGACAATTTGCTTTTAGCTCATCCTCCTTAGCTGGAGAGGATAGTTTCTGCAAAGTGACCAATGTGAAATCCATGATCTTTTGAAGATAATCCATGTCGAGTTTGCCTGAGATCAACAACTAAAAAAGGAAGGCAAATTGTTAGATGGATAAAGAACTTACTCGTATCATAGGGTAAAAAGAAGCAGACACATGACCTTAATGATCAGGGAGGTACCTGAGAGAGAATGTCTATATCTATAGCTTCACTAATCTCTTGTCTCCAGCTCTGAGGAGCCAAACTACAAAGTTCATCTCTTGCTTCTCTCATTAGATCAACAACTCGATTGTATCTATTTTCATCCTTTTTCATGGATTCCATGACACTATCCCAGAAAGCCTTCTCCATCGTTTCTCTAACTTTGTCCTGTAAGGTCATCAGGGCAGAACAAATCAATAAAAGTTTCTGCTGTCCCTTCCGGACCAAATGTGCTATGGTTTAGTAAATCAAGATGTAAGAATGCACCTACCTTAATACTATTATCGTATTTATCAGCAACTTTTGAAGACTCAGCAAATTCAAGACGCTGACCATGAAGTGACTCGTTCACAATTAATTCATTCTCCATTACCAATCCCTCATCAGTATGGGATGACTGCAAGCTGTTGTTATTGGCAGAAGAACCGACTTTTGAAGGTAGTTCATCCCTAAATAAGGAGCGCACCACACGGTTTGGCTTCTGATCACTCACCTCAAGCAAATTCCCTCCTTTATTTGAACCCCCAAGAGAAGAAGAGGCACCTGCGAGAGCAATTGGGCTTGGAGATACTGACTGCATAATTGGAGAGCCCACAGGACTTCCATTTTCTTTAGCTTCAAAGTATTTGTTTCGTGTGTCAGAAATTGCATTATCCATCCGTTCAATACCAGCACCTCCACTAATATTAAGCACTTTTTCTCTTAGAAGTCTCTGATCTTCAATCACCTACATGACAGGAATGATGTCTCAAAAATTATTCTCGCTAAAAATGAATCTTTTTGATAGAAAGCAACATTTTCTGAACCAAGAAGCTAATATAAGGAATCTAAAGATATTGAAGGAATGACAACTTCTTCAAGCAAGAAGAAATAAAATCTGGGGGTTAAAAACCTGTTTCTGGATAGCCTTCAGATCGTGAGTAAGAGCACCACCATCTCCTTCAGCAGTGATCCGGCATTTTTGAATCATGGAGAGTTCAAGCTGGCAAGCAGCCCTAACCAAATCCTCCTCTAAAGACTGGGCATCTTTAACCTTCCACACCACAAAGCTATTCAAGTAAGAGCACCATGCTGAATCAAACTCTGTGAGCTGCGACTTGAAGGTCCTGCGCCTTGCCAATCCGCAATCAGTATCCCCATCGGAAGTCTGGATGGAGCCATTCAATATTATCCTTACCAGCAGTTCAAACTCTCTGACAAATTTTTCAGCAGATTTGGCCAGGGCAATCTCACGCTCCCCTTTACCACTGAACACTGCATCAGGGTGACCTAGAATCATATATGCACACAGCACGATTCGAACTGGATACCTCAACAACTTGACTGGAGTTTTGGCTGCTGGTAAGTTGGATACTGTTTTTTTTTGCACCACCACTGCGCAGAGATCTCCTTGGTGTAGCCTTCTTTTTGGGTGTAGCTACTCGGTTGAGAAGATGATCAATATCGCCCCAACCAATGGTACTTGTGGCACTGTCAACATCACGCAACAATTTGAAGCGAAGCTCAAGCCGATCGAGCAAACCTTTCGCTCTCTGTAGTGTATTAGGTGATTCAATCTTCATTGCTAGCTGCTCAAATGGCATTACCTTAACTGCATTCTCGTTAATACTCAGCATAGTATAAGCTTTTGCAAGATGGAAGGTCGTCTTTCCACGTGTAAGGAACTGCTTCCAACACCTGGAAAAGGATACTTACAAGATATCATCACCTCCGTACATCTTATCGACAGTATTTCATGCAACTACGAAAATGAGCTCAGTTATATCAAGACAATTTGCATAACGAAAGAGAGTTTGCTCCCTTACCTTGCTAATTTCCTTGAAAGCAGGTCAGCCTGGTCATGTATCTCGTCATAACTGTCACAAAAGGAATTATGTGCTTTACCTCTCTGCATCAAGTATTCTTCTCTTTGTCTCTTTGCCTGTTCATTGTCAAGTGGCAAAGTGACAGAAAGTGTCACATTATACAGAGGACATAATCATTAAAATTTATTTAACTTGAATCAAGTAAATATGTTGTTACCCTTTGCAGCTTGTCTTCTATTTTAATTTGCATTTCCCTTCTTTTGACCTCTTCCTGGTGAGAAATGGACTTCACAACATTCCGCACTTGCATGACTCTAGCACATGCCCTCCTCTTTTCAGCTTCTAGCAATCCCATCCTCTTCTTCTCAGCAGCTGCACGCTTTTGACAAATTGCAGCACGCACTCGCTCTTTATACTTGCTCTCACGAGCCATTCGGCGGAGTAATGATTGAGATGTCCTCTCCCTCAGTGTGGCCCTCCTTAGGCAATTAGCTTTTAGGAGAAGCATTCTGTTTACCTCAGCCTGCTGTACACGCAACTCAACCTTTGTACCCAGTTCAGCTCGTTCCTGTCTGAAGCGCATTTCTGCTCCAGTTTTAGCTGCCTGCCTCAACTCATCTAATTTTGCCAGACGCAACTTAGCCTGTGCTAGAATGCTCATCCTGCAAATAAAGAGAACTTAGAAGTCAAAATTAATGGAATGGCTTGCAAAGTCACACAGAATAACCTACTAAAACATGAACAGAAAACAGTCATTTTACTCATTGTATTGTGAAAGATTAATATTTAACAGCATGACATGAACAATCATACAGTTCACGAAGTCCATCCGTTCTTTAACTCTACTAGTCATAAAAATCAGGCAAACAATAGAGATTATGCGCATACATCAGATCAAAGTAACATTTTTCCCCTGGTTTTGCTTTTCATCTCTTTTTTTCTTTTCTTCAGGCAAGTGTACTTGAGTATGGGATGCGTTTGTGTTCCGTTTGAAAGGATCTTCAATGTAGACCATATTGGTTAAATGCACTAGCAGAAGTGTATGAATTCCAGAAACAAGATTCTTTAACTCAAGTAGTTTGCTTTAAAAGAAGAAGACTATTAGTACACATGGAGCTATAAACAAGCTCAAGCAGATATTCTTTAACGATCAACAGAAAAGACAAAGCTTAAGTAGTGAACATCCACAGTGATTCAACAAAAAAAATATCTCAAAGCCGGTCGGAGAGGAGGGGATCATGAATGAAATACAGTGAACAATAAAAGAAAGTCCAGGAAAATGATACTTTGAATGACTAGCAAACAAAGAGAACATAATTCTGTTACATGTCAGCCCCACAATTGCTATAATGACAAACTCAAAAAGGTTTATAGAGAAAGGCAAAAGACTACCAAACGTGATAATTTAGAGTGGTCTACATAATTATGATGAATCACATGGCTGACAATTCTATAGTTTTCAATGAGAACCCCTGAGCACTGTCAAAAGTGCCCCCTCTGTAAAACAAGGTGAAAATTAAAAAAAATGCGTAGATGCACAAAAACGTACAAGTAAGATTTCAGCAGAAAGTTTTACTCAGAACAAATATCACAATAAGTATAGATTCAGGGACAAAACTATACAAGAAAAAATATTTACCTTTTCTCCTCAGCAGCCTGAAGTTTAGCCTCAAGACGCTGTCCAAGATCTTCTCCATGAGTTGGAGACTGTGAGGGGCTTCTGGGCTTTGGTCTTGCTTTACTTGATAGATACTCATAGAATTTCTGCTCGATACCAAATTGCAAGCTTTAATAGAATGATTATCCAAATATATATCAAGAAATAGCATGACAGAAAAATCATTATGCAACTTTTTCATCTTTATGCTTCCTGCTAATGAAAAACCTTCTAGGACCCCAACAAATAAAGAAATTAACCAGGAATTAGCATATGAATTAACTAAAAAAAGTAGTTAAATATGTAAAGGCAAAATAGGGAACATATATTAGTAAAATATCAAGGTAGCAGTGGAACTATGATCATCAATATTGTATTTTGAAGAAAACATCTGAACGTAACTTTTTATTCACAACAGATACAGGATTGAGTTTTTAGTCGATTGCTTGATTGAGTATATTTTATAAGAAGGGATGAACAAAAACCAGAAAATGGTCTTTTTCTTCGTCACCTAACAACAAACTGTAACACAAAGGAAAGAATCGCACACCTCTACCAAACACAACAAACAACCGTACGAACGAGAGGAAATTTTACAACAAAGGGAAAGCTATTTCACTACATAAAAAAATATATACTTGATCAAAACCAGGACTTTGAACAAAACTGATCCTACAAGTAATAAGAATATCTGAAAGCTAATCATCATGCACTTTACTAGTATTTCCAAAAACAACAACGACATGTTCAAATTGGAAAATAAATTACTATAACAGTTAACTAAAAACATGGAAGTAGAAGCAAAAAGGGAATCAATTTTAATTCCGTGTAATTCCTTAAAATAGAAAGATAAAAAAAAAATTATCGACTGTCTACAGCTTATCGGAAAAAGTTATAGACCTGTCGACGAAGATCGGCGCCACGAAGCTTAGCCTCAATTTCTTCAGCAGTAGGAGAAGAAGTTTTAGGCTCCGATAACTTTTGAAGAAGCCTAGGTGGAACCCTCGGCGGCGACCATATCGTTTCTCCGTCATCACTCGCCGGAATTTCTATCGCTATTCCACCTATCTTCCCTCTTTCCGGCGACTCCACTTCCATCTCTATTTCCCAAATAAAAATAAACAAATCAAATCTCCAAATAACCAAACGATCAAATCACTTCTCGAAACTTGAACTTTGATCTATGAATATTACAATAATTATTACAACGATGAATATTTAAACCTTTTTTTTAAAGAGAAATTGAAATTTGAATTTCTAGAAAAGTCGCGATGATTTTGTGAAGGAGAGAGAGAGAGAGTTTTTTTATTTTTTGTAAAATGTAATTTGGGAGCTTTTTGTTGATTTGCTTTTTCTATTTATATTTATAAAAATAAGAAAAAGCAAAATATAATGGAATCGCTTTTATGTGTCATCAAATGTATAAGTGCGTGTTAATTGTTAAATGAAGGAAAGGCGTGTTGGAATATTAGAGGATTTCTTATCCTGAAAGACTGACACGTCATTATTTTAACCCTCCTTGTTCATTTTTTATCGTTTCGCTCACGTCACTGCTTATGTTTCTACTTTACCGTATTTTTATTTTTTTTTCCCATTTTTCATAGTAATATTAATTCGAAGTCATGTTGGGCATCATTCAAGAAGGTAGCTTTTTATAAAGGATTTTTTCATATTAAAGATTCATAGTCAAGATTAGTTCAAAGAGTAGGGGCCATTTAGTGTGATAGATAAAGAAGATTTAATTCTGAGATAATTTTTGAGTGACCTTTAATATCATTAGTCACGCAATATATTCATCCATTTATTACGTGAATACGCTTCCAATCAGCACATAAGTTTTACTTTACTGTTTGATTTTATTGAATTCTTATATTAATAATATTTTATTTAGTTTTAGTAAATAAAGATAAATTTATTGTTTGTTCTTAATATTAATTAATTAAATTTAAATAATTACATATATATTAGTATTTTAATTTTAATTTTCAAATATAGCTAATAATATGATTTTAGTAAAATAATTGCTTAATTAATAGTTTTTTTTTTTAAGGAAGTGTTGGACAAAGTAAAATTAAACGGAGGAGAGTATGATCATATCGTATTTTAATCTGTTTTAAAAGGATATTAACGTCTTTATATATTCAGTGTTTTTTTTAGATATTTTGATTTAATTATTCTTGACGACTTATTCGATACTTAATGCTAGTAAAATACTTTATTTATGGGTGATTAAGATGACCCAGCGAAAGTCTCATTAATATTTTGTTTTTAAAGTGAAGGCATAGTAATGGTATCTTTTATATAATAAAATAATAATAATAATAATACTTGGCTTACTATGATAGACTATTTTTTTAATTTTGAAATTCTATAGTCAGAGAGAATTTATTTGCTGGATTTCCTGATTAATAGATAAATAATAATAAAATATGTCATCTATTTTTCTTTAATCATACGGATCAAAAAATCTTAAATATTTTCTAATTGAGATTGATATATATAATTAAATGAGATGACATTTTTCATATGTTTAATCTAGTTACTTACTTAAAAGACAATTGAGAATACATACAAAAAAAATTAAAATTTAAACATATCTATTAAGAACACTTTATCATATATTCAGTTATATTAGAATAATTAGAAATATAATTTATCGATGTCATGATAAATGCATGTCTTACCAATAAAAATTGTGCTAAAATGAAACTCCTTCAATCAAATGAATTCGAATCTCCAGACTACGGAGTCACCTTTTATGATTCTCCCATATGAATAACTAGACATCGGAGCCCGTGCTAGCATGGGCCAATATGTATCATTTTTTGTTTCAATTTATGTGATAAAGACAAAATTAAAGAGTTAATTAAATTTTAATATTAATTTAAAATAGTTTAAATTTTTAATTATTGTTATCTATGGTAAAAAAATTTTTTATGTCTTTTAACATTCTAAATTGCTAATTATTGTTGTATGATTTATAATATTTTTTACGTAATTTTGAAATAATAAAGGTTATTTCTTCTTTCTAAATTTATGTGGTACTTATAAAAATTTGAGATTCAATCAATTTTTTTTGTCTTTAATAAATTTTATTGTTAATTACTGTAAATTATTGTACTTTCTAAGTAATTTTCAAATAATATATATTATTTTATTTGTCCAATTTATGTGTCACCGATAAAATTTGAAGAGTTAATCAGATCTTTGACATATTTTTATATCTTTTGAATATTTAAGTAAATAATTATTGTAATTTATAATATTTTATACAATTATTTAAAAAAAATAAACAACAAACAAAATGAATTCATCATAGGAAAATTACCAAAGCATCCTTGAATACATCAATAATGGGTCCCACCTCTTGTTTAAAAAAATATGCATATTGGGAGGATATTTTTGTCCAAAGTGGAAATAGAATAAGTATAAAACATTAAAGTCTTTTAAAATTTTAAATTGTTAATTCTTATTGTATGATTTGTAATAATTTTACGCCATTTGCAAGTAATAGAGGTCATTTCTTCTTTTTCAATTTATGTAGTACTAAAAAAAATTTGAGATTCAATAAAAAAAAATTGTCTTTGAAATATTTCTAGCTGTTAATTACTGTAATTTATAGTACTTTCTAAGAAATTTTCAAATAATATATATTATTTCATTTGTCCCAATTTATGTGTCACCGATAAAATTTGAAGAGTCAATCAGATCTTTTATATATTTGTATATCTTTTAAATATTTAAGTAATTAATATCGTGATTCATAATATTTTATACAATTATTAGTATAGTAAAATAAATTTAAAAGAAACAAACAAAACGAATTCATCATAGGAAATTACCAAAGCATCCTTCAATACATCAATAATGGGTCCGACTTTTTGTTTTTAAGAAATTGTACATTCAAAGGATATTTTTGTCCAAGGTGAAAATATTGTGTAAAAAATGTGTATTTATTGTGATTTTGAATGTTTTGTGAGGTAATAGGACGCACGCAAAGTTAAGGTGTCTTTTTGAAAATCTGGGACAACTTCAAGTATCACTTAATGTTTTTTTCTGAAAATCTAATTTACTTTCGTCAACTATGTGTCAAATCAAAATAAGATTAACAAATTCAAAAGGAATGAGTAATAAATAACTCATACAATGACATATTTATTATTTAAAAGAAGTACTCATTTTAGTTGAAAGTTAACAAGATAATTACAATGTAACTAAATACTATAAAAATCTTTGTATTGTGGCTTATTATATATATATATATATATATATATATATATATATATATATATATATATATTACTATATAAGAAGAGGGAATAAGTATTCACCACAAGTCAACATGTGTTCCAATAAGAAGAGGGAATAACCAATATATTTATAAAAAGAAATGACATATAAAATAAAATGGAGAGAGTATTGGTTATTCAAAATGAAAAAGGACAAAACACGTATAAAATTAAAAGATATATAAAAAAAAGTTGGTTTTACTCTCAAACATAAAAAGTAACATATGTTATTAAAAACTTTAATAAAAAGTACTATAATTTACAATAAATAATAACTTAAAATATTTACAAGACAACAAAAAAAACAAACTAATTTTTGTACTGCTTGTGTCACATAAATTATGATTGGGATGATTTTAAAATTTTAATTTTGGTTATACATTATAAAATAGCCGAAAAATTGAATGATATAATTTTTTTAAAAATATCCGAATGAATCGTCCTATCGATAACCCTAATGTTACTTCTACTCTGTTTATTTTTACTTAAATTTAGAAAGATATGCTTCATTTCTACCCTCAATCTTATCGCTACATTTATTCGCTATTTAAAATTGAAATTAAATAGACAAATGACAAATAAGTTTCTATATTAGCTCACTTATGAGCAAAATATATTATAACAATCTTTACTAATTTTATAACAATACATAAACTATACTCCCTTCGTCCAATATTAGATAGGCATTTCCAACTTTACATGGTGATTAAGAAATCATTAATAAATTGGAAGACTTCACCATTTTGCCCTTTGTTTATATCAATGCACATTGAAATGAGTTACAAAAAATACACATACAATATAAGAATGGTTATATTAATTGTAGGGGTAAAATGGAAAAGAATTAATTAATTCTATCCTAATTTAATAAGTGCTCAAATAATATGAAAAAAATAAAATTAGTAAGATTCTCATCTAATATGGGACGGAGAGAGTATTAGTTTTTGAAAATGGAAAAGGACAAAACACATATAAAATTAAAAGACATATAAAAAAGAGTTGGTTTAACTCTCAAACATAAAAAGTAACATATGTTATTAAATATTTTAATAAAAAGTACTATAATTTACAATAAATAATAACTTAAAATATCTACAAGACAACAAAAAAACACACTAATTTTTGTACTGCTTGTGTCACATAAATTAGGATTGGGATGATTTTAAAATTTTAATTTTGGTTATACATTATAAAACAGCCGAAAAATTGAATGATATAATTTTTTAAAAAATAACCGAATGAATCTCCTATCGATAACCCTAATGTTACTTCTACTTAAATTTAGAAAGATATGCTTCATTTCTACCCTCAATCTTATCGCTACATTTATTTGCTATTTAAAATTGAAATTAAATAGACAAATGACAAATAAGTTTCTATATTAGCTCACTTATGAGCAAAATATATTATAACAATCTTTACTAATTTTATAACTATACATAAACTATACTCCCTCCGTCTCATATTAGATGGGCATTTCCAACTTTACACGGTGATTAAGAAATCATTCATACATTGGAAGACTCACCATTTTGCCCTTTGTTTATATCAATGCACATTGAAATGAGTTATAAAAAATACACATACAATATAGGAATGGTCATATTAATTGTAGGGGTAAAATGGAAAATAATTAATTAATTCTATCCTAATTTAATAAGTGCTCAAATAATATGAAAAAAATATTTTTAGTAAGATTCTCATCTAATATGAAACGAAGGGAGTAACAATATAACTTTATTAATGTGGACCCGGATAATACCCGGGCTTTTTTTACTAGTATATATAGATATATAGATAAGTGCGATTTAGTAAACGTCCTTTTCTTTAAATACTTTATTTATTTGCTTGTTTTAGTCTTTTCTTGTTCGAGATGAATTTGACCCATGTGATGAGTTTCTCCACTTTTTCCGCCTTTAGTTTTTACCTTCTAATTTTTGTTTGTTTGTTTCTTTTTTATTGTAAAACGTAATTTTATAATCATACTCCAAGCCTCAACATTTTTACAAAGTCAATGACCACATGTGAGAGGCTGGCTA